GGATCCCCCCCCCCCACCCCCTCTATAGGAGTAACCCCACTCCATCATAACCTCCATCCAGAGAGAGGGGGGGGGTCCCATCCTGCACCCCCTCTTAGAAGGGCCCGGCCCTTTCCCTCCCCCTGCCCCCCATCACCCCATAAAGTTTGGGGTCCCTCTCATTCCCTCCCCCTTCACTCCATAAACTTTGAGGGCTCCTCCCTCCCCACACATTGCCCCGTGAACTTTGCCTCCCCCCCATATGCTCTCCCATCACCCCATAAACTTTAGGATCCCCCCAGAGATGCTGCAGCTTTTTTTTTTTTTTTTTTTTTTGGGGGGGGAGGGGGGAAGAGTTCAGTGCAAAGTGTGACTGCCCCATTATTTTCCCCTTGGGGTGGGACCCCCCCCATTTTCCCACTTTCCTCCCTCCCCCCATTTTTTTCCCCTTTGCAGGCACAGAGGAATGGTCCCCAAAATTAAATTGTGTCCCCCCCCCTCCCCAAAGCACCAAAGCTGAGCCGGAGGGACACCCCAATGCCTCACCCCCAGGGTGGAGTCTCCCTTCCTGAATTGGAGTCGCGGGGGGGAAGGGGGGGAGGGAGGTGGGCGTAGGGGGAAGCAGTTTTGGGATGTGCCCCCCTCTCCACTGTTGTAGGGAATCCAGGAGGGGCCCCACCCTGGGAGGAGGCACCGTGACTCAGTGTGCCCAGGGCGGGGGGGGTCCCGAGGGTGTCCCATAGGGAAGACCGGGGCGGGGCAGGGTGGGGGGGGGGGTCAGAGGGGGGACACTGCAGTACATCCCGCCCCGCCCCACGGCCGTTGCCCGGAGCTGAGTCACCGCGATGGGACAGAGTTCTATGGGGACCAGATGGAGCCCCACACACCCCATAGAGACCCTCCGGAGCCCTATGGAGCCCCACACATCCCATAGAGACCCTCCAGAGCCCCACGGAGCCCCACAAATCCCCATAGAGACCCTCCGGAGCCCCATGGAGCCCCACACATCCCATAGAGACCCTCCGGAGCCCCACGGAGCCCCACACATCCCATAGAGACCCCATGGAGCCCACACATCCCATAGAGACCCTCCGGAGCCCCACACATCCCATAGAGACCCCACGGAGCCCACACATCCCATGGAGCCCCACACATCCCATAGAGACCCTCCGGAGCCCCATGGAGCCCCACACACCCCATAGAGACCTTCTGGAGCCCCATGGAGACCCACAAATCCCCTCTGATGCTGCATCCCCCCCAAGCCCCATGCACCCCACAGAGACCTGCAGACCCTATGGAGCTCTTTTAGCCCCATAGACCCCACTAAATCATGTAGACCCCAGTGAGACCCAGAGGCCCCACTGTACCCTTCCAACTCTTCAGACCCCACTGGACCCCTCTGACCCCATTGAGCCTCACACACCTTTTGACCCCACAGACCTCACTGACTCCCATAGATCCCACTGTACCCTTCTGACCCTGCAGACCCCACTGAGATCCTCTGATCCTCACAGGACCCCAGTAGCTCTCACAGACCCCACTAAACCCTTCTGACCCCACAGACCCCACAGCTGCCGCCATGCCGTCCCAGATGGAGCACGCCATGGAGACACTGATGTTCACCTTCCACAAATACGCGGGTGACAAGAACTACCTGAGCAAGGAGGACCTGCGTGCGCTGATGGAGAAGGAGTTCCCTGGATTCCTGGAGGTGAGGGGTTGGACAGCGGGGTCACACCCACCCCACAGCCCTATAACCGCTGGATTCCTTGAGGTGGTGGGGGGCAGAGCAGGGTCACACCCACCCCATGCTCATATAACCTGGAGGGGGGGCACAGCGGGGTCACACCTACCCCACAGCCCAACTGTGAGGTGCTGATGAGCTTCTGCCCCCAGAACCAGCGCGATCCCATGGCTCTGGATAAGATCATGAAGGACCTGGACCAGTGCCGGGATGGCAAAGTGGGCTTCCAGAGCTTCTTCTCGCTGGTGGCTGGACTGACCATCGCCTGCAACGACTACTTCGTGGTGCACATGAAGCAGAAGGGGAGGAAGTGAGAGAGGGCCCCGCAGCCCCAATAAAGTGTTTTGTATGACTCTGCTGTGGCCTCTACGTTGGGGTGGGTCCCCTCAGGTCCTCATCACTGTGGGGTTTTCATCCTCGTATCCCCATCAGCGTTGGGTCCCCATCACTGTGGGGTTCCCAGCCCCATATCCCCATCAGCATTGGGTCTCCATCTCCATGGGCTTCTCATCCCCGAACCCCCTTCACTGTGGGGTTCTCAGCCCCATATCCCCATCAGCATTCGGTCTCCATCTCCTTAGGGTTCTCATCCCCCAAATCCCTTCACTATGGGGTTCCCAGCCCCATATCCCCATCAGCATTGGGTCTCCATCTCCATGGGCTTCTCATCCCCAAACCCCCTTCACTTTGGGGTTCCCAGCCCCATATCTCCATCAGCATTGGGTCTCCATCTCCATGGGGTTTTCATCCTCAAACCGCCTTCACTGTGGGGTTCCCAGCCCCATATCCCCATCAGCATTGGGTCTCCATCTCCATGGGCTTCTCATCCCCAAACTCCCTTCACTGTGGGGTTCCCAGCCCCATATCCCCATCAGCATTGGGTCTCCATCTCCATGGGGTTCTAATCCCCCAAACCCCCTTCACTGTGGGGTTCCCAGCCCCATATCCCCATCCCTATGGGGTCCCCATCACTCCACATCTCTGTGCTTCCATCCTTATGGGATTCCTGTTCCCGTGTCCCCGTGGTTCCCATCATCATGGGTTCCTCTCATTCTGGGCTGCCCCTCTTTGTGACCTGGTTTCCACATTCCTATCATATCCCTCCGAGGTCCCCGGCCCCATATCCTCACCGCGGGGCTCCCATCTCCACGTCCCCATCAGCTCAGGCTCACCTGAGGAGCCCCCAGGAGCCCCTTGGGGGCAGCATGGAGCTGCGTGAAGGCTGTGCGAGTCTCCATAGGGACTGCGCGGCGCTGTAGGGCCGTGCTGTGGTTTATAGGGATCTATGGGCTGTATGGGGCTCTGCAGCGATCCGCAGGGATGTGTGGGGTGGCACAGAGGGGTGTGAAGGAGACCACCGGGGGCAGCGGGGGGCTGAACGGGGGTGTGCGATGTTTCATGGAGTTTGGTGCTGCGTGGTGATCCATAGGAGTTCTGTGGGTTCCTATGGGGCTCTGTGGGTCTCCATGGGTTCCTATGGGTCTCTATGGGTTCCTATGGGGCTCTTTGGGTCTCTATGGGTTCCTATGGGTCTCTATGGGTTCCTATGGGGTTCTGTGTGTTCCTATGGGTCTCTATGGGTTCCTATGGGGCTCTTTGGGTCTCTATGGGTTCCTATGGGTCTCTATGGGTTCCTATGGGGTTCTGTGTGTTCCTATGGGGCTCTGTGTGTTCCTATGGGTTCTGTGGGTCTCCATGGGTTCCTATGGGGTTCTGTGGGTCTCTATGGGTTCCTATGGGGCTCTATGGGTTCCTATGGGGCTCCGTGGGTCGCCATGGGTTCCTATGCGGCTCCGTGGGTCTCCATGGGTTCCTATGGGGCTCTGTGGGTCTCTATGGGTTCCTATGGGGCTCCATAGGTTCCTATGGGGCTCTGTGGGTCTCCATGGGTTCCTATGGGGTTCTGTAGGTCTCTATGGGTTCCTATGGGGCTCTATGGGTTCCTATGGGGCTCTGTGAGTTCCTATGAGGCTCCGTGGGTCTCCATGGGTTCCTATGGGGCTCTGTGGGTCTCCATGGGTTCCTATGGGGTACCTATGGGGTTCCTATGGGGCTCTGTGGGTCTCTATGGGTTCCTATGGGGCTCCATAGGTTCCTATGGGGTTCTGTGGGTCTCCATGGGTTCCTATGGGGTTCTGTGGGGCTCTATGGATTCCTATGGGGCTCTGTGAGTTCCTATGAGGCTCTGTGGGTCTCCATAGGTTCCTATGGGGCTCCGTGGGTCTCTATGGGTTCCTATGGGGTACCTATGGGGTTCCTATGGGGCTCTGTGGGTCTCCATGGGTTCCTATGGGGCTCTATGGGGCTCTGTGGGGCTCCATAGGTTCCTATGGGGCTCTGTGGGGCTCTATGGGTTCCTATGGGGTTCTATGGGTTCCTATGGGGCTCCATGGGTTCCTATGGGGCTCTGTGGATCTCTATGGGTTCCTATGGGGTTCCCATGGGGCTCTGTGGGTCTCTATGGGTTCCTATGGGTTCCTATGGGTCTCTATGGGTTCCTATGGGGCTCTGTGGGTTCCTATGGGTTCCTATGGGGCTCTGTGGGTTCCTATGGGGCTCTGTGAGTTCCTATGAGGCTCCGTGGGTCTCCATGGGTTCCTATGGGGCTCTGTGGGTCTCCATGGGTTCCTATCGGGCTCTATGGGTTCCTATGGGGTTCTGTGGGTCTCTATGGGTTCCTATGGGTCTCCATAGGTTCCTATGGGGCTCTGTGGGTCTCCATGGGTTCCTATGGGGTACCTATGGGGTTCCTATGGGGTTCCTATGGGGCTCTATGGGTCTCCATGGGTTCCTATGGGGTTCTGCGCAGCCCCGCGCGTCCCCACGCGCCCTGTGGGGCGGGGCCGAACCCCGCGCTCACCGGAAGCGGGCGGCCGGAGGCTCCGCCCCCATCCCCGCTGACGGGCAGCTCCCGCGCGGTGTCGGCGTCGCGGTTCGCAGCGCCGCGGTGGGGGCGGGGCGGGGCAGGGGGCGCCTGGGGGGGCGCAGCGGCGCGCGGAGATCTCTGACCTCGGGGCCCGGCGCGTCGTAGTGACGTCATCGCGGCGCGACAGCGGCGAGGAGCGGGGTCACGCGGAGGGCGGAGTGACGTCAGCGCCGGAGTGACGTCGCCACGGGAGTTGCGTCATCTCGGTGACGTCACCTCGCGCCATGTGGCGGAGCTGCGGGGCAGGGGCGCGCGCGGTGGTGGCCCACGGGTTGGGCCGGGTCCCCCCGACGGTGAGTGCGGGGCGGGGGGACATCGGTGGGGCGTGGGGACACCATGGCGATGTGGGGACACTGGGGGGATGTGGGGACACTGGGGGGACGTGGGGACATTGGGGGACATTGGGGGGACATGGGGACATTGGGGGGATGTGGGGACATTGGGGGGGTGTGGGGACGTTGTTGGGATATGGGGACATTGTAGGGATATGGAGACATTGTGGGGGCATGGGGACATCATGGGGACATGGGGACATTGTAGGGATATTGAGACATTGTGGGGATATGGAGATATTGTAGGGACATGGGGACATCGTAGGGAAGTGGGGACGTCGTAGGGATATGGGGCCATTGTGGGAACATGGGGACATTGTAGGGATATCGGGACATTGTGGGGGCGTGGGGACATTGTAGGGATATGGGGACATTGTGGGGACGTGGGGATATTGTGGAGATATGGGGACATTGTAGGAACATGGGGACATCATAGGGAAGTTGGGATGTCGTAGGGATATGGGGACATTGCAGGGATATGGGGACATTGTGGGGGCGTGAGGACGTTGTAGGAACATGGGGACATCAGTGGGATGTGGGGACATCGTAGGGATATGGAGACAACCTAAGGACATGGGGACAGGTGGTGGTGGCATCAGGCAGCAGCATGGGGACATCAGGGGTGGAAATGGTGACACAAAGCGAGGACATGGGGACATTGTGGGGGCGTGGGGACATTGTGGGGACGTAGGGACATCGTAGGGAAGTGGGGACGTTGTAGGGATATGGGGACATTGTAGGAACACGGGGACATCAGTGGGATGTGGGGACATCGTAGGGATATGGAGACAACGTAAGGACATGGGGACAGGTGGTGGTGGCATCAGGCAGCAGCATGGGGACATCAGGGGTGGAAATGGGGACACAGAGCGAGGACATGGGGACACTGGATGGGGACATGGAGCATTGACACAGGGACAAGGGGACGTGGAGCAGGGACAGCGGGACATGGAGCAGCAACATGGGGACCTGGGGACACGGGGTGGTGGTGTCAGTGGTGGCACAGGGACGTGGGGCAGTGACACAGGGACAGCACAGTGACATGGGGACGTGGAGTAGGGACACCGGGACATCGAGCAGTGACACTGGGACATGAGGCGGGGCATGAGGACATCAGGCAGCGACACAGACGCCAGGCAGTGACATGGGACACAGGGCGGTGACACGGGGATATTGCTTGGTGACATGGGGACAAGGGGAGGTGACACAGGGACGTGGGGCAGTGACATGGGGATGGGGGTGGGGAAATGGGGGTGGGGGGTGGGGAGATGGGGACATAGGGCACTCCAGGACAGTGACAGGCCCAGGCACACCGTGGGTGTTGTGACACGTGGGGGTGACATGGCATAAATGTCCCAGCCCTGGGAACCTGGTGACACAAGACAGCCACTGATGGGAGACGGGGGCGGGAGGGAACAGAGAGGGATTGGAGGGACTGGGGCCGATGATCCAAATCCCAAACGTCCCCGATGGTGACAACATCCCACAGCCGTGCCACCAAACCCTCGTTGTCCCCACTGCTGTCCTTGTCCCCGCACCGCACGGTGCCACCGCAGCCCCACATCGCACTGCCGTGACCGTCTGTGTCCCCCCACCCCCCCGTCCCCGTTGCTGTGTGTCCCTGCAGGCTCCGTGCTCGGTGTCCCCGCAAGACTTGGCTGTCCCCAATGCTGGGTGGAGCGTGGCCATGCGTGAGCAGTTCCAGCATCTGCTGCGCCGCGCTGCTGACGGCTCCTGGCGCCGCATCCCCTCCTACCGCCGCGGCCTCGACTACCTCCCAGGTGACCACGATTGTCCCTTGTGCTGTGTCAGCCACGTTGTGTCATCAGCACTGTGTCACCCACACCGTGTCACCAACGCGGTGCCACCCACACCACGCCAACAGCAGAGTCGCCAACACTGTGACACTCACAATGTCACCCACACTGTGTCACCGACGCAGTGTCACCCATAGCACGCCAACAGCAGTGTCACCAACACTGTGACACTAACAGTGTCACCCACACTGTGTCACCGACGTGGTGTCGCCCACACCATGACAACAGCAGAGTCACCAACACTGTGACACTCACAATGTCACCCACACTGTGTCACCGACGCGGTGTCACCCACACCACACC